TGTCTCAAAAAAAAAAAAAAAAAAGACAACCAACCAAGAACATCCCCTAGGGCCATCCAAATAGCTCAGTGGATTAAAGCGGCCACAGGCACAGGGCCCAGATTCAATCCCCTGGGCCTGCCCCCGGGGCGCACTGAGCAGGCAATTGAGCCTGTAATTCCAGCTCTTGGGAGGCTGTAAACAGGAGGATCACTAGGAGTCCGATCTAGTAGTGAGACCCTGAACTGTAGACCCTTCCCTAAAATACAGAAAAAAAAAAAAAAAAAATGAACATCCCCTAGAGCAGTGGTGGTGAACCTTTTAAGCCTTTCAATAATTATCTTTATTTTATCATATCACCATAAAGAGTAATCAAAACCTACATAGTAGCATGTACTGATAGTCCCCCAAAAGAAATCAAATGCCCACAAAACTACTACATGGTGTTTGGGAAATAATTTGCAAATCTTCAAAACATCCAAAATACAAAGAAAAGATCCAATTCAACTCAGTATGCATAATACTATTTGCAAGATTTAAGGAAAAGAAGTGCTTTGTTCCTAAAAATACAAAACTTAAGGTATTATAGGGGCCAGAGAGCTAGCTCAGTGGCATGAGTGTCTGCCTGACAAATGCAAGGTCCTGAGTTCGGTCCCCAGTACCACACACACACACACACACAAAAAAAAAAAAAAAAAAAACCTATAAATTAACCCATTTACTCAGCAAACATTTATTGATCACTTACTAAGTGTCAGCTCTTATTCTGGTACAAAACTAAAGACAAAATCTCTATTGTCATACAACTGACACATAGGAGAAAAAAATGACAAAAATAATAGACAAATGTATAACACCAGATACATGCCATAAAGAAAATAAAAGGCATGCAGACAAACAATGACAAAGGCAGCAGTGTGAGGGCACATAAAATGAGAGGAAAGACCTCTCTCTGGCAGTGAATTGTAACAGTGAGCTCAATGCATCATAAATCAGTTTAATGCCAATCAAGTTTAATGTAATCAATCATTTTCTTCACCTTATCATACTCCCATCACCGTTTTCCCCCACAGAAATTGTATGCTGCAGTGGATATTCTATTGTTGTTACTCTTATTATTTTAGAAGGGGAAAAAAAACTCATACAAGATATAGACAGATGGGGGCTGGGGAGATGGCTCAGTGGAATAAGCACTTCCCTGGCAAGTGCAAGGGCCTGAGTTCAATCCCCAGTTCCACCAAAAAAAGAAAAAAAAAAAGATTGTGTCACAAATAAGTACAAGTTTCAAAGCATGTATGTTCTGGGGGAAAAAGTGTTGTGTGATTTGTGAGAAGATTAAAGGCAAAATAAAGCAGAACTCCAAGAATCTGAAACAGAATTTCAAGAAAATGGTGAACTACCTCTCCACCTCTATAATCTGTAGGTTTACTTCTATTATATGTGAAAAGGAGGATATGAGCAACAGAAATATATATTTGAATAGAGATTTGGAGGGCCAGTGAGATAGCTCAGTGGTCTAAGCACCTGCTTAGGCAAGCATAGGGACTGGCGTTTGATCTACCACACCACATGTCACACTGCCCCCACTCCCAGAGACCAAACATGGTGGCACATGCCTGTAATACCAGGGCTGGGGTGGCTGAAAACAGGAGGAGCACTACACGTCCGAGTTGCATAGTAAGACCCTGTACCAAATGCAGAGAGAGAGAGAGAGAGAGAGAGAGAAAGAGAGAGAGAGAGAGAGGAAGAAGGAGAGAGGAGAAAGGAGAGAAGAAAGAGAAGAGAGAAAAGAGAGAAGAGAGAGAGATTAGGCTATTTTTCACTTAAAGATAGAAAACTTAGGATATCCTCCTCTTAAAGGCCACACCACCTTCATGCAAATCAACAAACCCTAAATCACCAAACCCTAAAATTTCCTTTCAAGGCTTACACAGAATTTGAAGGGCCTCAATCACTTGCAACTAAGGCAGTGCCTTAAGACAAAAATCTACGGGGTAGCCAGGAGTAGTATCACATATCTATAATCCCAGCACTGAGGCTGAAGCAGTAGGATCTGCAAGTTTGAAACCAGTCCGGGCTACACAAGGAATTGAAGGTCAGTCAAGACCCTAACACAATAAATAAATAAATAAATAAGCAAGCAATAATACTGATCAATATAAAGACTCTGTTTAAAAAAAAAAAAAAGTTTCCTCATAGGACTGGGGACTGAACCCAGGGACTGACCTACATTTCAGCCCTTGTTGTAATTTTAGACAGGGTCTCACTGAGTCACTAAATTGCCCAAGCTAAGCTAGAACTTCCCATCCTGTCTCCAGCTCACACAGTGCTGAGATTACAAGTGCGTACCACCACACCCAGCTATAAAATTGTTTTCATCTACATTGTCATCTTGTTTGCCTAGTCTTGTTTTTTACCTAACAAATACTCTCCCAGGCACTCATAGATCCAAAAGGAAAAACAAAATCTTACTTTTTTTTTAGTAGTTATTAATCGTCTTGTGCCATGGACCTCTTTGGCAGTCTGGAGAAGCCTATGCTTCTTCTAGCACTGCTTTTAAAAGCATGCCATCCATATATGTACCAGCTCTCCAAGATGACTATAAAATGTATATAGTGCAAACATACATAAAATTTTTAAAAACTGATACACAAAAAAAGAGGCAGAGAATAAGAAAGAGGAAGAGGGGTGTATAGGCAGGTAATAGGGGGATGGATATGAGCAAACGATATTGCACCTGAAACCCCTCCAAAATGTGAAACTGGGGGGAGGGTTGGGGAAAAGGTAGTGAGGAGGGGTGAAAACTGAAATATATTATGTGCCTGGACTAATCTGTGAAAATGAAACACATTAATCTGTATAACCAATAATTTTTTTTTTTCAGGGACCAGGGATCAAACTCAGGACCCTGAGCTTGCCAGTCAAGCACTTACTCTACTGGCCCCCCAAAAAGAGTAAAATTAAACACATTAATCTGAATTAAAAAGAAAAAAAGAGTGGGCCCCGCATGGTGGCCCACACCTGTAATCTCTGTACTCGGGAGGCTGACACAGGAGGTCCTTGTGAGTTGGAGACCAGCCTGGGCTACAAAGTGAACTCAAAGCCAGCCTGAGCTGCACAGTGAGACCTTGTCCCAAAAAGACCAAAA